GACATACTAGTTTAATTTTTAAATCCCTTTTTTTGATTTTAAATCGTTTTGATATCCTATGGGTTTTAACAATTTGGGAATTGCCCATGACGAAAAGTCGGCAATAGAATTTTGGGTAAAGTGCAGAATCACCCACTGTTTGACGCGTTTTTAAGAATTGCACATACTCAGTATCCATGTGCACATCGACCTATTTTCACTTAAAAAGTAAAAGAAAATTGACAAAAATTCAATTGTTTTTACCCTTGTAAAAAGCGGCAAACAAATAAGTGAGCGATTCTGCACTTTACCGAGAATATTTTCAAAGAAAAGTCATCATTCATTATAGAAAATTACGTTTGAACAACCAACGAGATGAAATTATGCTTTAGCGATAGCGAAATAGCGATGCCGGCATCCATTCAGTTATGTTTAGCAATTTTTATATAAATCATAATAATGAAAAAGTATTATATGAAATTAACCTTTCATCTAAATTAAAACATCAATCTTAGTTATTTACTATTATACTTCGTTTCTTGCCGCAATTATTAGGGTTGCCGCAATAATTTTTGGCAGCATTGGCATCAACAATAGTTTGGCGATTTATTACGGTCCTCGAAACCGAATAGTACCAAATATTTTATAACAAAAGATCATTGTTCTAAGATTAAATTAATGGAACAAATTGTTACATTAAATTACAAAGTAAGCTTTATTTGAATCACAAGGAAATTCAGAGATGTCCAAAAGTCATTGACATCTTTAAAAATCAATTTCAGAAAACGTTCAAGCAGTATGACCAAGAAGTTCTCATACATGATTAAATAAAGCTAAAAAAATAGCATAATCATGAAGGGTTTTATGTTAATTAGCCGCCTTATTTATTATTTTGGATTTAGATTCACTTTTGTCAACTCTTACCAAGAACGCAAATTACTTTAAGTATAAATAAGAGTAGATGTTTAGGAGGACAGCGTTTAGCAGCGTAGGCTGGCTGTCATTCTGTTTAGTTTTTCCACGGATTGAATTCAATTTATCGGTTTAAGCTTGGGTAGCCACATTTGCTTCGTGAACACAAAGGGTCGAGCTAAGGTTTAACATGGGGGATGCTGATTTCATACTTCAAATTATTCAAATTAGTATAAAAGCGTGTTCTGAATCACTCGAAAGTAGTGGGGTTATGTTTCTATTAATTTTGAATTTGTGTAGTCGTCAGGTTAGTGTGTTAATAAACAGCTTTTATTTTAAACATTCATTTCGAGACATGATATTTTTGATTATAAAGATACAAAAAGTTGTCCGGTAATCTTTGAGGTTGCCCGAAGTCATTTTAGGCAATTTAAGATGACAAAAAAGCCGTATAACCAAACCTGGATGTGCAAATCTTTAATTCTTCAGCGTTCATTTAATAGGTCCTCAGTTTCAATAAGATTTCGAATTGACTGCGAAAGAATTTTGTCTGTATGGGCTATACCTGTTTTGAGTTTTTCAGTGGTTATTACTAGCTGCATGTGCTCTTAAAAGTATGTTCACAAGGTGGAGTCAACACATGTAATGTCTGCAGTTCAGAATGTTCATGAGATTGGATCATTTAGAAAAATCCATTGTTCAAGAAATTTTTCTTTTACACTGTTTCATATAATCTGACTTCATTCAGTAGATGCCCCTTCTTACTGCCAAGATAACTGGATATAAGTGAAACAGAATTTATATACAAGCTTATGCCTTTTGAAGCAACAGTTTAAGAAATGTGGCCCTCCCTCTTAAATGAAAAGAATAAAAATTCTACTCAACATTTGTATTTCTGTTGGATACTTCACGATTAATTTTTAAAATTTTTACATTAAATTAAACTTTTAATTATATAGATTATTTCATTCGAAAAATTCAAAAGAATGAAATATTTTGTAAACTAACTAGCTTAACGCGCTTTCGGAATTATCCGCTATTGTTATGCATATAAAGGAAAAAAATGCATATAGAGGGACAGAGACCCATAATAGAGGGACAGAAATGCATAATCAGGTACACAGATAAATAGGCGGATAGGGTATTCAAATACACTCATGTCCATAAATTAGGATAATTCGGAGTCACGCGGAAATCGAATTCTAAAATAAATATGTCACCTATAAAATCACTACACATATCTTCAAGAATCATATGCAAATTTCAGGAAGTAACCAGAAGACACCGATGGTACGTCACAATGTCAAGAGTGTAAGAGAATGATATATAAGGAATACAGGCAAAGAAGTAAAATTGTTCGCAGGCGCTTTATAAGCATTTCAGTGCAATAACCGAATAGTTATGACACAAAGGACGCATTTGGATGATTTTTTACGTGGTAGAATTATCGGCCGTCTGGAATGTGGGCGTACCCAACTGGAAGTATCAGACGAACTTGGAATTGCCCAGAGTGTCATCTCCAGGCTTTGGCAACGATTCCAAGATGATGGTAATGTGAGTAGACGTTACAGCACAGGTCGCCCCAGAGTTACAACGCCGAATGAGGACCGGTATTTGGCAGTTACTGCCAAAAGAAACAGGCGGAGCACAGCCTCAGACCTGTCTCGTCAGCTCTTTTCAGCCACTGGTACGACAATTTCAAGGCAGACCGTGTACAGACGCTTAGGGCAGATTGGTCTATATGCTCGTAGACCTGTCAGATGCGTTCCACTTACTGCAACTCACTGTCGCCTGCGGTTAGCCTGGAGTAGAGAGCATGCATTGTGGACACCGCAACAGTGGGCTTGTGTGATGTTTTCCGACGAGTCCAGGTTTAGCTTGCAGTCTGATTCTCGCCGGACTTTCATATGGAGAGCTCCAGGTACCCGTTACCACCAAGAAAACATCATTGAACGACACCGTTACGGTGGTGCAGGAGTGCTCGTTTGGGGTGGAATTATTCTGGGTTCCAGAACTGACCTTGCATGTTCAAATTGGAACCATGACAAGCCAAATCTATCGGGTCGCCATTCTGGAACAACATGTACGTTTGTTTCGGGGGTCATGGGCGCACAATTTGTGTTTATGGATGACAACGCCCGTCCTCACCGTGCAAACATCGTAAGCGAATGCTTTCAATCGGAGGATATCACCCGTATGGACTGGCCAGCATTCTCACCGGACTTGAATTCAGTAGAGCACGTGTGGGACATGCTTGGCCGACGAGTTGCAGCCCGTCAACCTCCTCCTACATGTCTACCGGAACTTCGGAGTGCATTGAGTGGTGTAATATCCCCCAAGATCAGATCGATAATTTGATACTCAGCATGCCTAGGCGTTGTACGGGACTGTATTGCATCGTCTGGAGACATACAATGTATTAACAATCATACCAACCATGTAATATTGGTTTTTTTGTAAATAGGTTTGGTTTTTTGGTAATTTGCTCCAGGGAGAAAAATCGCTAATTTTTTTAATAATATCAAACATATAGCATCTTTTTTTGCTCTTTACCTTTTGTTTAATAAATAAACTTTACAAATAAGTCAAATTTGTTTTGCTTCTAACTCTTCCTTTGCCTGATTTTGCATTATCCTTAATTTATGGAAATGAGTGTAAATAGATATAGAAATACACAAAAAAGAAGAGACAGGCAGAGATCACGAGGTAGATAGATTTATTGACAGAGAGAAAGAGAGGAAGAGAAGAAGGGAGATAGGCAAATATAAATAAATAAGGCAGAAAAGAGAGACAGATAGTAAGGGGAGACATAGGAATTTATTGTTCGGTAGAAAGATATAGAAATAGCGACATAAATTAAGAGAGATGTATAATGAGGCAGATATAAGTATGCATGCGAAAAAGAAATAGAGACAAGCTGAGTTTTTTTTTCCTTCAGGAAAAGTTATGTTTTCACACATTTAGAGACATTTACTAGCAATCTTTATAAAAAATGACAACTTGACATGATATGCGTCGATTTACCTTGAGGTCAGTTAAAATACTTTTTTCCGGAGAAATTTATTGGAAAAATACATAGCTTATAAATTTTAGGGACTTACAAACACATAATATACTTGATCGACGTATTTACGGCACATTGAAAACTTGTACGGCACATACTTTTCTGCTTTTAGAAAACACGAATCTGATTCATTTATATCTTTTAATCTCCTGCTTAGAAATTTACATTAAAACATAGAATTCACGGGCTATAACACAAATATTTTGGCTACTGGAGAGATCACAGATATGAATCTTACTCCAGAGCAATGTAAAAGCAACACATTTAAGAGACCCGTGTAATACAAATATTACCAAGTATTTAAAAAAAAACGCCAGGTTCCAAGTCTGTCGAGAAATGAATTAGGTTTTTTTATCGAAACACAATGAGCATGACTAAAATATAATCTGAATACTATGTACATGATTTAAAGTTTGTAGCTGTTTTAATATTGCACCTGGAATTAAAGGTAGAGTTTTCTTTATATAATGTACTTAAAAAAGGTAGGTGTTAAGGCTTGAAGAATGAAGTTACATCTGAAACTGACAGCCGAATTAAAATTTCTATGTAGCCAAGCATCTTCAGTATCCATTTTTATACTCGAGAAAATTAATTCAAAAAATTGAAAGAAATTAGTCAAGCATCTATTTTTTTATATATTTCGAAACATAAATAATGTGTTACTTAATAGAATGAAAAATCTATTCTATAATTAGTGTTAGGCATAATACTTAAAAGCGGCGTATGGCATTTAATTTGATGTTTTTAATTAAATGGTCGTCTACAATTTGAGTTTTAACGTACTTATAACTGAGGATTTCATTACTTCTCAAACCAGTATATCTTACCAAACATATACCAGATTTCACGAAGAATTTCCTGGAACAGAAACTCAATAATGTGTATATTAATATACTTCTTTCTATTATTTCTACTTGACGTGTCAGTCCAATATCAGAAAATGAGATATGGCTTGAAAAAGGGTAAAAATTGAGTAATGTTCTTTCAAAATAAATAACTGTTACAAGTATTATTCACTCAGAAAGCAAGGAAAATGTGTACATACCCACTAAGCACGCCGAGCACTAAATTGAGCATGAAAAAGGATCCAATGATGATGAGAGGGACAAAATAAATCCAATTGAAATAGCTCCCCGTTGCATCATTCGTCTACATGAGAGAAAAAGAAATGAGTTACGAATTGATAAATACGTAAAATAATATAATCTTCTAGGAATATATTTCTCACAAGCAGAAGGGTAACTCTCAAAACATTAAAGTTAACTTTGAAGGCAAGTTTGAAATTTTTGCAAATTAATTTCAAATAACTCTGCTTTTTAATTTCGGTGACAGTTCATATTGCAAAAATATCCCGAAAATTTCGTATTCATATGTTTGGACTTAATCCTACGTCTTGTCACAATTGAAAGGACAGATTATTCAGAAATGTTATATTTGGAGAATTTCAATTAAAAAAAATTAGAGAATTTTCTATTAAATAGAGAAAAGAAAACAAAAGTGCGTTCAGAATTTGGCAACTGCGAGACTGATCTTAAATTTTAATTCTAGTACAGAATTATCTCCTAAGCATGCAATTTTAAAATTTTAGATTTTTAAGTTGCAAACTTCAAAATATTCTGCAACATTTATTTATAAAATTTTGAAATATAAACATATATTAAATTTGATAATCTTAATTTCCCAAATGGGATTATTGTATGAAGGTGCTTAAAGGACTGATTTAAAGCATTACTGACTACTCAGGGATAATTATCGCAAACTTTCGAGTTAACATCTCAAAATTTTGAAACAAATGTACGTACTAATTTAAAATTATTTGTTCCAAACCAGTGCACTGTATATTTTGAAAATTTTAAGAAAAACATTTATTTGTTATTTTTATCCAAAAATTCTTTTTTTAAGCAAATAATTTATATGATTATAGCATTAATAATACCAAGCGTTGATAACGAAATTAGATTAAGAAAATAGTGAATTTATAAATGTTTTGCAGATGTCACTAATGATAATAAGAATTAAGTTAAAAGTTTATATTGTTTGGTAATACTAAGAACATGGATTTTTTGTTTTTGCTGAATGTATTTTATAATTTGCTATCAGTTATTAAATAATTTTAGACTTAATAATATTATTAAATTTCATAACAATTAATGAGAAAGAAAGATAATTAATAAGATTTTCTAGAAAATTCAAGTCATTGATAAATGTTAATTCTAATATATTGGCAGTCTATTATCATTTACTTAGCCAGCATTGTGCAATTCTTTCAATTTATTTCTGAAGCTGGACTTATTTTTTTACTAGCTTATGTTAATCTTATATAATTCATACATTTTGTCAGCCTAAAGTCTTAAAAACTAGATTTACACATTTTTAGAAAAGAACAAAAACATTCAAACAATAAATATGAATGTTGCTTTCATTAACGGATTCATGATTTTAAGTTTTATACATAAAATTTCATGATCAACGTTTGTAATGAAACCTGCAGTATTTAACTGAAAATTGGAAAATTGATATAATTATGTAGAATTCTTTGCTAATAGCGATGAAAGGCTTACCCAGTACAACATGGCAGTCCATCCTTCCATTGTGATACATTGAAAGACGGTTAACATGGCAAAAAGAATGTTATCGAAGCTAGTGATACCGTAGTTTGGACCTGGCCAACCCTCCACGCAGACGGCTTTATCCGCAGGACAGGTGTAGGCACCATAAGGGGCCTCCGTTGTAGTCTCGCTGTCAGATCTGTTGTTGTAACATGGAGTTTCAGTTTCACCTTCTTTGTAAATCTCATCTGAAAATGAAAGAAAAATAATTAATGCATTTATGATTAATGCCACTCAACCAAGATATCACTTCAAAATTTTCCGGTTACTAATTTAAAACGAGAATATGGTTTCAAGAATTCATCATAACTGGCAAAAAATGATTTAATTAACTCTCATGACAAGGATTTTACTCTAATATTAAAAAGGGAGAAAAGTTTTAAGACATTTTAGAGAGATTAAAGTTACTTTAATAAAACACGGAATTATAGGTATTTTAGTTCAGGATGGGTAAGTTAAGAATACATTTTTCTGAATGACAACATAATTACTAAAATAATTTTCATAGTTTCATAACGTTATGAAATGGTAACATAAATACAAAATACAGATCCTAATGAGAAGGCTGGAATGAAATCTCGGGTACTTATTAGCTAAAAATAAGAATTCAACAATTGAAAACTCGAATAAATGATCAGCTACATTATATTATTCTCAAACCAGTGTCATTTGATATTCCGATAATGTACTAAATTGCATCCCATTAAAGTTCCGATTTACTGAGCGCAGTGTCAGTTTCTAAAGCGTATTATTAAATACTTAAAATGATGAATATTAAGTTTGGGTTCACGAAATGATTAATAAAATTATAAGCAATGCTTAAAAAAAGTAAGTATAGTGTCAGAAAAGACGAATTAAAAAAGTTACGGCACCGTTTTTAAAAACGTGGAATAATGAAAATGCTTAAGATAAATAATAAGTTTAATAATGTTTTTATTTAATTGCTGTTCTTTCATCTTGTATAGTAAATTTATGTTACATCTCAGCATTTTTGGTGGTGATTTTAGTGATAATGCCGTATTTACTCGCGTACTTGCTTGCTTTCTTTACTATTTTTATCGTACAAAACAAAGAGGGGAAATTATGCGAATAATTTTATTTCGAAGAATATAGTTACAGTATTAAGAGTATTCAAGGTAGATATCAAATTATTATTTATTTAAAAGAAACCTACATTCCAAAAAAACTACATAATAATAATAAGAATTTTGCAATATCTAATAAGATATCTTCATTTCTTCTTCCCTGCATCTTGAATCTCTCTCAATATTATTGTTGTCAACTGCTACCTCAAATCATTTAATGCTGTTGGAAATACAATTTTTGCTACAGTTTGCATGCTGTCGCAATTGTAACTGTTGCCGTCGTCTTTGTCACCTTTCAATATGTCTTCTCATGAGCAAAGATTTTCAAAAATATCAAAGTATTAGTTGTCCCCGTTTTGAAGTTCATCATCATTATTGCTTCATCAGTCAGAGCCCATGCCACCAAAATCCCCGAGTAAATCAATTAATAGGATGAAAATGACCACTACATGGACGAATCCACCTAACAATTTAGAAAAGCTCATTTTATGAATGCTTGTGGATGGAGAATATTACATGAATACTTTAAAGATTTTAAAAATATTGTGTTAAATGCTAGGGAAAAAAATATGCGAGTAAATACAGCATATACGTTTTCGAAGAGACTATTAATGTTTTTTTTTTCATTTTAGCCATCCTAAAATTCTCATCTATAACTGAAAATCTTTTGACTTGCGTCAGCAAGAAGAGACTTACCTGTTAGAATCTTACATGAACTGCTAAGAATCACTTGTATCCTAACCTGAATAATTTCCGTGTATTTTGGAAAATATGAATTTAGTATAAAGTGCCAAACTCAAACATAAGAGGAGAACAGTTCGTTATTAAGATGCCATCAGTTAGGCAAATGAAAGGTCTAAACTAAAATAGCAAAATTGTTAAGTGTTTTTATTACAAAGGTTAAAATAATTTAAACTATAATTAATTTAAGGGGACTCATACACCTTAAACCCCTCATGATCTTCGAATATGTGCCTGTTGCAAGAATTGGGATATTTTATTTATTTTAAAAGCAATTACTTCCAATTTTTTACAGCTGATTACATAATATAGCTGCTTTGGAAACTAGTAACCAGAAAGTTTGTGTTGTCACAAATATTTTTGTAATTTAATCCTCTTTGTGACAAAATATTTCGTTATGTTTCCACCTTGCGCGCATGATATTTTAAAAATGGCTAATGGTACATACTTGAAATTGGATGGAACTTCTTTATATGGCACTATTTTTTAACTGAACCAAACAATCTGATGAATATTTTAATATTGAAAAACATTTATGGACGAAAACATTACAAATTTTTTTAATAAAATACATTTTATTAACTCAACTCCAAATAAAATAAAAATTTAACATCAGATTTTTTAGAATTTTAGGTTCACAGTTTCCAAATGTTATAAAAGCTATATATTAAATATGGAATTAAATTATAAATCAGAATGTTTTAACCTGTGCGCGCAAGTTGGAAACATGGCGAAAAATGTTGTCACAAAGCGGATTAAATTATAAAAATATTTGTGGCAACACAAACTTTCTGATTACTATTTCAGAATGCAGCTATATTATGTAGTCAGCTGTAAAAAGTTGGTAGTAATTGCTTTTAAAATAAATAAGTTATCCCAATTCTTGCAACAGTCACCTATTCAAACATCTTATGGGTTTTAAGGTGTACGAGTCTCCTTAAAGCTTTGTAAACTTTTGTTAAAATGATGTTACCTCTGTGAAAAAAATTTAACCTCTGTAATAAAAATACTTACGATTTACAGAGATTAAGGTTTTTAAAAAGTTGTTTTATAATAATAAGTCTCATGCTCTTGTAATATGCAGGTTTCAGAACAAATTTAGCTTCCGAGTTATTAATTTCAAGAATATAAAAGTTTCTTCTAGTCAAAATAACAAAAGGAGATATTACAGCCAAAAATTGTAAGTCGAAATGTTAGAATTTTATCCTTCATTCGCTATTGGCAGCTATGGAGATGCATCACATCAATAAGGAACAATTTTACTTTAATTAAATTCAGCAGTTCAAAAATGTATGCATTCCGAATTATATTGATTGTAACAATATAATTTAGAGAATATTCACCTTTTTTTTACTCCTGTGTTAATGAAATATTATATTTTTCTTTTCTTTTGGTTTTTAATATTAATTTCTCATTACTTCTGAAATATTTTTTGTTATAATAAAAAGATATCTTGCATTTAAACCCAACCACGTAAGTAAATTTATTCTTTCTTAAGAGATAATATTTCAAGAATTTCTTTGCAGTAATACTGAAGTTATACAGTTTCAGAATTTTCCTCGTAAATTTTTAATCACTGCAGGTGATGCCAGCAATTTTTAAATTCGTTAATTTGCATGATAATTTCAATTTTATAACTTTTCGTTCAATACAAGTAAAGTGTTGCTTTATTAATAAAACGTTTATTTCATTTTTAAGAAATGTAAAATGTCCAAGTTTTCCTTCAAATACAAAAACATATTTAAAAGGTATTTATAAATAAACTTAATACTATAGAAAGGCGAAAGTGAACAAGTAGTGAAGAAAGCATAAACTGATAAATAAAAGCAAACTTAATAAACTGATAAATAAAAGCAAATAAAAACAAAACAGGTTATTTACCTGAGTCACTGAGCAGGTAACATGTTTTATGTAGAGCACCACTGTAGAAATCAAGGCCAATGATGGCAAAAATCACGATGGCGAAAAGCACCAAGAGGCCGATTTGTAGCAGAGGGGCCATCGCTTTGATTATGGACTTGAGAACCACCTGTAGACCTAAATGAAAGAAAAGCGCCTGAATCATGATAAATTTTTCTGTTAATTTACGAATGATTCTTTAAATCTCAATGTTTATAACCTATGAAAATGGAAAAATAATATTATGCAAATAATATTTCCATTTTTCTAAATGTTGACAGATGAGGAAAACTGGTTCATATTTACAAAAGACATAGGGGGAAAACCAAGAAAAATTCCACGGCGAGCCCGTTGGCTGAGATTCGAACCCGGATCGTTTTGATTGGTTTGGTTTATTTAATTATGTGAAAGCACACTAGTGCTATCTAAAAAGAGGGATGCCTTCGTGGAGGACTTTCTAAGGAAAACTGGCACGTATACACGTTTACACATGGGGAAAACCACGAAAGCGCCCATGCAGCCGGCCCGTTCGCGGGATTCGCATCTCGAACCGAACTACCAGTGTTCAGCGATTTTACCGCTCGGCTGCCGGTGGGCCCCGAAACCGGATCGAATTACTCGTGTTTAATTTTACCGTTCGGTCGCTGATGGACCAATTGAAGAAAGCGAAATTAAACTGGGTCCACTTTCACAGGGGCCTTCCGGACGGTATGATGGTTCGCAAAATTACCTACGATATCGTTGGGTTTGAATTAAAATGCCAGAACGAACATATTGAAGTGTTAACCGTATATCTCCTTTGTGGCGCAAAAAGGCACTTAAAAGCTGCCAAGGCTCGAATCCTCTCGTATGCTTGGTAGTAGGTAACGAGGGGTAAATTTTCTTGAGCTTTCTTCCTAAGAATTTTCTCAATCAAAACTGAATTGTAGTTGGAAAACTACAATTCAGTTTTGATTGTAGATGCTTAAAGACTTAGCCCCGTTAGCCAAAGCCAAAGCACCATTTTTATCCTAAACTGGGTACACATAATGCAGTTTTTCTAGGCTTCGGAAGAATTAATAACAAATCCAACCAGTTTTGTAGTTACAGACCTATAAACTTGGTTAATAAAGCGAAAAATTTAATCAATTAAATAATAAATGTATTAGACTAGAAGAGAAACACGCTAATGTGACAATCAAAATCGTAAAATCAACCTTGTATTTAGCGTAAGTATAATGAAACACTCAATCGATTTCGAGGGCAGCTAAAGGTCCCTCCTCATCAGGAAAAAGAAATACCTTGAAACAAATTATTTTTTTTTTTTTTTTTCCCCCTAGGTATTTCTTTCTCCTGATGAGGAGGGACCTTTAGCTGCCCTCGAAATCGATTGAGTGTTTCATTATACTTACGCTAAATACAAGATTGATTTTACGATTTTGATAATAAATGTATTGTTAATAATGCTAATAATGTTGTTAGTAATTGTTAAATAATAAATGTGTTTTTTATAAATGAGCACAGTTTATTTTTAAGCTTTCATTAGCATTTTTATTTATACATCTCTTATTTACGACGAATTCAAAAGCATTCAAAACTCTAGGACATGGCATTCAAAAACCCACGTGCTTCTGCTTTGCATACACAGCATCAAATATAATAATAGCATATAATATAATAAACTATATTCAGTTCTGTTTTGCCATTTACTGTTTTTTCATATTTAGTTTTAATCATTCAATATATTTCATGTACCTTAAGAGTCATATTTCAATCTTCATGTAGTACTACCAGCCAAGATTCTGACACTTATAATTAATTTGATTTTTGGTCTTCCGTCATCTAAGTATCTGTACATGAATACAGATTTACTGAGATTTCAAATGAAAAACAAATTCCTAGAGGGATATCTCTGGATCTTTAGGATGTTGTTTTAACTTCATTTTGCATTCATGCAAATGTACGGATAGCATCTGATGAAAATGTTAATTCATAAAAGAACGTCACTTTTCGTTTTTATTCGCGAATGGTCATGGATTAAGAGGTTTAGGACTTAAAAGCAAATTAATAAAAAGAGTTATTGCAAATAGTATTACAGTTTGAAATAAGAACATTCAATCATATTAGAAAGGATAATACAAGACTTCCTACAATGTACGGATATTTACAGCCATTATAATACTACCGAACTAGGCTATATGTGTATTTTAAATTGAGGAATATGATTTGATAACTATGAATAAATAAGTAAAATGTTTCATGATTTGTAACAAAGGGCTTCGGCTATTTTGAACACACTGACAGCGGAGAATTTGAATGAAAACTGCGCAAGATTAGTTAGATAACGGTTCATGTATGTGTGGGTTTTGTTTTACTTAGTTTAACACTCCAAATTAAATATAGATACACCTTAACAGTTAGTCTATACATGGATGGTTTCATCATTACCTAAATTAGTTTGTATTAATCTTTATCCTAGAAGATAATCATTTGTTTTAACAGAAAAATGGATTTTCACATGAGCAAGCAACCTGTCGCATATAGAAGATAATTCTTTCGACTTGTAATTAATTTCATTATCTTTTGTTTTAAATATAAACGTTATTAAGTTCATTTTAAGGTAAAGTGAAAAATTTGTTCAAGAAATTTAGTATACCTCCGCAGAGGATAATTTATATTTACAGAATGCTTTCAATACTCCTTAATAAACTTTAGTTATCGCATTGGGATATTATTATTCATGATGATGTGTAAACAACAGTTTTCAGACAAATGCAATGGCCAGATAAATACTTCAATTTATTGGTTTAAGCTCCAGTGGCACCTGAAACCATGACTTCCCTTTTTGTGTTGAAATTGTTTTAATAATTTTTAAACATGGAAAGGGTTTTCCGTTCTCCCTGATTCATTTTAAATTAAAAGAGACAATTTAATATGCGGTATAAACATACCGAATATTACAATGTGGCCAGAAAGTCTCTTTACACCTGAGCTAAAGGCGTGAAATAGACTAATATCATAAAATATTTAAAGTTTAAATCTCCCATCCTGATAATCGATATGGCAACAGTAACGCTCACGTGAATTTCAACATGATAGCTTCGTAAATGTCATGAAACTACCCGAGGAGAACAATAAAGTCTGCGCATTGATCAATTCATTTTCTCCCATTTTTATGCTTGGTGAAGAACAATCGCAGATACTATCATCTCTGGAGAAGAGCTTAGTGACAAGCATGTGGGTAATCACAACAATGAAAATATGCCATAAGTAAGCCACCAAGTCTTCGGATTTTGATCAAATGGGAGAAGAAAGCTTTTTGCTTGGAAAGTGCTTTAGGTTCACCAGCCTTTTATACCTGGCCACCTCGATGTCTGAAACTTATGACACCATACAATGCTCTGATAAATCGTCAAATCATACGTCAGGCAGAAGTTTTTGCGAAGGAAGAAGAACATTTTTGCCCATGTACCGCTTCTGCGGTACATGGGCAAAAATGTTCTGCGGGCAAGTGTGTTTGAAGCCTTCCAGTATGCGACACTGCAGCTGCCATAAAGGTAGGAAATAGAGGAGAGGTTCGAAAGGCTTCCTAAAGAGTAATAGCGTCACTTATTTGGTCACGTGACAAATCGATTGCACGGAGATGAAAAAACATGCGTGTGTGTGTGTGATTATGGCAAAGCCTCGAGGGCTATCTGCCTAAGGGGAGGGATGTCTTCGTGGAGGACTTTCTAAGGAAAATTGGCTTGTATACACGTTACATATGGAGAAAACCACGAAACCTCCCATGCAGCCAGCCCGTTCGCGGGATTCGAACCTCCAACCGAACTACCAGTGTTCAGCGACTTTACCGCTCGGCCGCTGGTGGGCCACGAAGATGAAATGCACTGTGGAACATGTTGTAAAAGTTAATTTATCCGTTGCTGGATAAAACAAAATAAACTTTGTGCACGTATACAATTCCAAATTAATAATAAACCATTAAAAAGTGTATCTGATAAAGAATATAGAGGCATAAACTTCGAAATATTTTATTTGGGCAATATAAAAGAAATTTACTAGAAAGAGAAATTTCGTCGAACGAAATATATAATAATATAAAGGAAATTTCTTTACCAGACATAAAAGTATTTATGATTGTACGTCAAAATACTGCTATATGTTTTTAACATGTCAGAAGTTGTGAAATAACATAAGAAATTTTGTTAAATTTTTTGAAAGTGGGATCTTGATATGAAGGGATGTTTTTTATTTATTTTATAATAGCACAAATCTGCTTTTGTATTTTTAAAAACTTTTTGCCGGAAGAAGGGTTTAATTTTATGTTTTAACACTTCATTGGTATGTTAATATTTTCAGAAAGCAAAATTGTAAAATGGAGTACTGTTAGCATTCACATTAATAACTGAAATTCTGAAAAATAATAATGTTTTTGTTTATATGAAAATGTAGAGGAACTTCTAATGATGTCTCTCTTTTAAAAAGGTATGTGAAGGCAAACTGGAACTTTACTTCCCCCCCCCATAACGTATCGAATATCATTCAATTATGGTTTCAGATGTGGGCATTCAGCTCCATATTAACCCTCTGAGCATTATGGGTTTAGCCTTGAAATTTCAAAATTCCTCAAAATGTCATGAATAAGTGATATTTTCTTGATTTTAATTAAAAAATGACTCTTTCATTTTGTACCTTGATTCCTTTTCTTCCAATACACATCCAAACTGAAATCAGATACATTAAAAGCTAGCAGAAATTTTCATGTATAATGAATGTGGAAGGCAACCTTCTGTACGGAATTTTCCGGCCTTAACACTGAGAGGGTTGACTTATGGTAATAACGGAAAGAATAAACATTAAAAAACGTGAAAACAATCATTATGAAATTTTTAGTATTTCTCAAGTGTGTGTGCATTAAATATAAATAAATATATATTAACATATAAATTAATTCAGTTGTACACAAAATCACCTCATGTCTTCTTAACTGATTTTTTAAAGGATTAAAACATTACCACTGTACAGCCAACATCCGTTGATAGAAGATGTTTTATCAGATGTTAATAGAAGATGTTTTATCAGATGTTAATAGAAGATGTTTTATCAGGTAACGGTGGAGCACTTACGGACGTTTTAGGCAAACAGCTGTGAATGTTGTATGTTAATTGCTCATGCCATTCTGCATATATTATTAACATTAAAGTAATAGCTTTCATTATAATATTAAATTTAAGCAAAAGAAATAACTTACAGTAAATATAATGAAAAATAAATATTGCAGACAAAATGAAGTTTCTATTTTTAATATAATGCAAGTATTAATTTAAGTACTTAGTTTAAAAATATTTTTCTTATAATAACTTAAAAATCTTCTGTTAATAAAATGAAAGTTTTTAAAGATATTTATGTAAAGTTTCTTTTGATACTTACTGGGAATTCCAGACACCAACTTGAGTGGTCGTAAAACACGTATAGCCCGTAACGTTCTTAGATCTACATCTATATCCTCGGCTACCAAAAAAGTAATGAACCTGAAAAATTGCAAATATCTAGCCACTACTTGGAAGACTAGAGACAATCACATGCATATCATATCAAACAATATCGATATTCCTATTTCTACTTTCTATACTACTTAAGTGTTCAGTAACATTTGATTACGATATTTTTCTACAAAATGAAATTCAATACTTTAATGATATTACTTTAATTTTAACACCCACATTAGAAGATAGAGTTTTATTTTACCTTAGAAGTATTTAATCATTGTTGATTATTATTCATAAATGGGAAGTTCTACTAAGAACGATTTGGCAGCACATGTTATATGTAATTCAAAGGTACCCATCTAGAATAAATCCTAAATGGAAAATTAAATTTACTTTCGCATAAGATTAATCGTTAGTGATCATATTCAGTTGAGATGAATTTTACTTGGTAAAAAGTAATTACTTTCACAAATAACATATTACATATTTGAAAAGTGGAATAATTTTCTACTGCATTTAAATGCAGCTTAAAGCATATTTTATTAATTCAAGGAATTAAATAAAAGCATATTAAGTTTTTATAAAGGCATTTATGAGAAATTATAACGAGAAAATGTTTTCTCTAAGAAGTCTGTATCGTTTGCATTACTTTTAAATTAATATCTTTTTTATTTTTAATTACTATTATTTTGTTTTTAAAATTTTATTTTATTTATTTTCTAGCTTAAGTATTATACTTTAGTTTGTGTCTTTGTTGGTTCAAAAACGGGATGATACATTTACTTCTGTCGTTGCATTACCCTCTGATTGACGATGCAATAATGGAAAATGTTATTTCGTTTTTTCTTCTCTAATTTCGGTTTGGCCTTTGGCCTTTTTGCGTCTATCACGCAGTTTGAAAGTGTGCTTTTTGTTTTTTTAATTTTTTACATATGGTTTGTACCGAATCCAATTGAATTTTAAACGTATAATTTTAATTTATTTTGCTTTACATACGCATACACTTATATATATATAAACATAAGATAAAAAATATTAAAGATAAAAAATATGTAAATCAAATTATAATTTAAGCTAGCAGTAACCCCTTAAGTTTTGCTCTCCATTCTAAGAATCGTGATATTTTTCTTGGACTGCGTCATTTCTAGAACAATCCATCTTGCATGGCTTGTATAACGCTGATGACGTACCTATATCGGAACCTGAGCCTAAAATTTTGAGAAGAAATTTTTCTAATCTAAATCAAAATCTTCTCTTGGTGAGCCTCTGTATCTGATAACTGCGCAATTTAGCTTCGGCTATTTTGCAGTTAAGACGCTACTTCGCTCCCTTTGCTTTGTTGTGCTGCTAGCTACGCCATTATCTAAAATGTGATACTACTCGTATGTATAAAACTTTGTGACGTGTATTTCGCCCATGATCATGTGCGAGAAAAAATATATTTTCGATAATTAGTTCGTGTCCGGCAATAAAAATTAATTTCAATTCGGCAACGTCTGTTTAAAAGTCTCTCCTTCGTGTGTCATCTTTCTAACTACGCAGTAAAGTCTCTCTAAGTTACAAGAGTTGGTTTACATTTAGTCTCTCCAACAGAAGATCGTAAATCCGCTGCAGTTTACGCATTGTTTGAGCATGTGCGTGTATGCTGTTGTCTTTTTGATTGAGTGGTATCGTTGAGATTATTGAAAAGTAAATTCAACACTGAATAAATATTATATATGTGGGTGAGAAGCAAGTAAAATTATAATTCAATTATAGTTTAATTGTTTTTCTTTGAACATTTTGAATGCTTATTGATAGTACTACCTATCGATATTTTCCCTATTAGTAGTAGGTTGTTGAAATGAGAGTTTACATTACGTTGATTTATATTTATCGAAATTATATTAGTTTATGCTATTAGTACTATACGAATGTATAAGAATTTGAAAGTATGACAGTAAAGAACATCTTTTTTGTTAAAACTGAATACTCATATCTTATGTGAATCAAATAGTAAGGTCAGAGCCTTTATGATTAAACAAGTGGAATGGAGGTAGTCTAATGTATAGAGAAATGAGGACACTTGTTTTTGCCAGGTGGCTGATGTTTATTGCTAACATTCTACTTCAATTACCTGTACGTACATGAACAAGCGGGCTCTTTTCTCCAGCGTTTTACATTTCGGTATCGAAGTGTGGCTAGATTTATATAAGTGGAGAATGTGAAACCTCAACAATTGATTGTAACTTACTTTTAAGGAAAAAAAAATAAGAGCCAGAAAAATTTATACGTGTAGGTAGAAAAGCTTAACAGCAGTAGAATACCGGCGCATAACAGTCTAGGATATCATAGAAACTGAGACATGTGGATGTCTATTGTGCACAAGTATTACAGCTTAAAGGTTTTCAAAACGTTTAGAAGCAGTATGAGCCAGGTTACAGTATGATCGAGAAAATTATAACTAGGGTGGAACATGGGTAGATCACTACAACTCCGAAGGCATATCGAAAACATTGAGTGAAAACATCCAAGTTGCCCGTGCTAAGGAATTTCGAAAAACTATGTATTTGTGTTTGCAAGAGCAATCTAAAACATTGTTCTCTGCATGCACTAGGCAGCTACTAGAAAGGTATAAAATATGTGACGAAAGCATGAGGATTATGTTGACAGGCCCTTTTTATCTGTACTCCTTTCTGATTCTGCAATAAATGATAATACTGACCTTACTTTTTGCTTCGTCTCAGCAGTTAAAATTTGTTACTGAACACTTTTCAGTATTTCACCAATAAATATGAAATATCACTGAAACCACAATGAGTATGCTCTACTTACTAGATACTACAGAGAACTACTATACATTCATATTAAACTTGCAATATTCTAATACCGAATACTACTAAGTATTACTACCTTCTACATACAGCAACAACAGCAGCCATGAACAATGGATGGATTCTCTATATCTATGTTTCTAATCAGTGGAAGAAGAAAAGGTTTTGCCACCGAATTTTTAAATTTCACCACTCATACATTGAGATGCTATACTTAAGTAGCTAGCCAACTTACCAATCCATTCTGTTTAGTTTGATTTGGCAAATGATGATTTCACATCTACCAGGTTCTATTTCAACCAATTCTACAGCCCAAAACATAATAAAAATTCAAGTACACAAAAGAATCAAATTGCTGGGATCGGTATTTAAAAATGAAATTGCATTTTAGCTGAGCAACATAAAAATGATTTATATAAATATTACCGAAATTCCAGAAAAGCCTGCTCAAAAACATACATAATACACATTTTTACTGGTCTAAAGAGTTAAAAGTTAAAAAAATAGTTGAATTAATAAACTGAATTTAAAGTTAAAAATTGAATTAAATAAAATATAGTTAATTAATTTGATTTAAACATGATGCACCATTTGTAGAAAATAATTGCTTTTAAAGATGGGAAAATATTCTATATGTAACTGAAATATAGATCTTTTACTGACATTAAATTTTTTAAAATAGCAGTAAACATTAAAGATTTTATTTTTAAAATACTAATTTGAAAGTAATATGAGATTTTTATGCTTCATTTTATTATATTTAAACTAACTGTAGAATAAAAAAATAAAGTCTAGTTCGTTTTCAAAAAACGTACACATTTTTATTTAAAGCACTGAATAATTATAACGTCGATGACTTATGAGGTTTACTTTGAAAACAGAAATGGAAAACAATATATTTCGTATAAAATATTTACAAAAAAATTAATCATAAATACAATGAATTATAATATTTTCAAAAATTAATGTTTTCTTTTAAAAAGAACTTTAAAAATAGATTTCATGCTGAAGTAAATAAATTTTTTAATTTATATAAAATGTTAATCAAATTTTATGTAAAATGTTTATAAAACATAATTTACAGAGGTTAAAATATTGAAAAAGAGATAATTTTTCACGCACAAAATTTTAGCTTCGTGCAAACTTTCAAAAACTGGTATAACTTGTTATCACTGTTTACTGATTTTAAAGTAACTAACACCTTAAACATTGAAAAAAATTCTGTAGAACACCAGAAATTTTTCTTTTTGTCTAACAGGCATAAAATGAACACTTTCTCATTGAATATTTACTCTCAGTATGAAATTTGTATGCATAACAGTCAGCTCGCATAAGTGAAGAAATTTATAAATAAGTAAACTCAAACAGTTGAACCCAGCAGCATTCAAAATATGATTTACATTTCTGGCAGAAAACCAACTGTTAGAATAGTCTTTTTCAAAATTCGAAGAAACTGATGAAAGTGAATTTTAATCAGCAGACAAATATAAAAAATCAAGAAGAAGCTATAGTTATAAACAAACACTTATACTTTCGCTTCCAACATTTCATATATATAGCTTTGGCACACAGAATTTACACTTGGTTAAATTCTTCTCTATTTATATTATTTATGTATTATTATTTTTCAGTATTTTATTTAAAATTACTTTAGTAATTTAATTAAATCCTTCAAAAAATTTAAAAGGAGATATGTCTACTAGAGAGAGAATCGTGTGTTATTTTAACGTATTTAAAATCTACTGATTCTAAGTTTTCGAATTCAGCAACCGTGTTTAAAAAAAAATATAAATAAGTGCTATTCTGTTAAAATGATTCCGAATTTTTTAAGATTATTTCTATTAATAGAATTATGAAATCTCAAAGATGTCCCGCATTCTTGATCTATACAAATGATATCATTTTAGTCATAAGGCCTTACTTTTAAGCCAAAAGTTGCGCAGCGTTTTATAACAAGAAATTATCATAAAAAGGTGCTTTGGAAATCCTTTTGGCAACATTTTTTCAATCATTACTTGCATTTTGTTGAATCGTTCTGGAAGTATTCCAGTATTAAGTGAACAGCAGGCGTTGACAAAACATTCATGCATTAAAGTATGAACCTTCGCATTTTGAGAGCCAAAAAAACCATCAAAGTATGGTTTTTTTTTTTTTTTTTTTTTTTTTTTTTTTTTTTTTGAAGGGGAGCAATATGCAATTGTTTTTTAAGAGAATTTGCCTTGCTTCGTAATCATAATTTGTAATTACATTTTTGCTGAAAGACTGCATAACAGTAATTTTTAAGCATATTATTTAAATGTGTAATTAAAGCACTGTAACTATTAAATTATACTTATTATGTATTACTTAAATGTATTATTAAATCCATGTATAAGAATAGCTTATGAGAGATGGGCAAACCTAAAATAAAATAATTAACAATAATTTTCGCGTTTAACGTTTTGAATACATTGAAATATTAAACTAGCGTTTTAAAAATAACTTTAATTCGACATAAATTTAATAAAAACATTTAAAGGGGATATTGATGGCTGTGACCGCTTTACAGAATTTTAGCTTAAGCGCAATATTTTTTAATGAACTTTCAGATTATAATTATGCATTGTTTTTTCATTGCAAAAATGCGCAAAATTTGAAATTGTAACATTGATAATTTTAGTGTGCATAAATTTTCGATCCTTACTTATGGGACATTTTCTAGTCAGTGAATTGTCCACAAAACATGATTACGTGATTGCTATAATTTAAATATCAGTTTTGATTCAAATTGTTTATCAATGAATTTTCGAATAAAATAATAATTAATGCAACCAAAACATATTTATTCATTTTGAAATATGCATGGTAACATTTTTTTAAGATGTGATAGGTGACGTTTTTAAGGAATGATTAAGTTAACGCCTAATTATTCTCACTGATTGTCTTAAAAGTTAAAGGATTATAAAATGTTCTCAAATTTAGTTGAAACGAATTAGTTTAAATAGTTGCTTTGCTTAAAGAATACAAGGTGTCCATAATTTAATCACTGAATAATAAAATTAAATTGAAATGTAATTTTTGAAGTAATCGAAAATACTTTACCTTGATGGAATTTATTAAGAAACTTTATTTGAAAAAAATTTAAGGAATTTTATTTATTCTAATTTTTGTGAATGGCAACAGTGAGGTTTTTCGCTTACAGACAAAGTGGTATAATGTAGTGAAAAAGCAATGGCGTTCTCTTGTCATGGGAAACGAAATTTTCGAAAACAGTTCAGACATGAAGTTGAAAAAATCTCCACCAACAGAATAATCAGTTAAAAGATGGTTAAAAAGCAGTTTCGGGAGATCAGATATATTTTGCGTAAAGGAGGTGCAAGACATGGCAAATATCAGTGATGTTTCCTGCTTTTCCGATGTGCTTGTATCACTGCCCAAGTAAATCCATTTGTTTTACCTACCTGCAAACAGAAATTATGGGGTCGAGTGTTCATAAAGTTTTCCATGAACGGTTGAAACTGATTGCATATAAATTGCAGACTCACCAACAACCAAAAAATCAACAAACTAAACCTAATGATAGAGGTTTCGTAAAAATTTTTCTGCAGACATTTTTGACCATATCACAAATAATAATCAGTTTCTTCAGAAAATCGGAACCCTGTCATATTATGTGCGTGATTTCTTTAAACATTCGCAAATCGTTTGTATTGCTAGAAAGGACCACTTTCATGGCAACCTTGTTTTCTGCACATCACACCACTCTCTTTCTTTTTCTGGGGATACTTGAAGAACCAATTTTATTGCTGGAGAGATTTGCAGTATCGATGAATAAAAAAATCGAATCACCACAGAAGCAGCTATTGTGACTCCACTAAACGTATAGAGGGAAATCGAGAACAGATTTGATATCAACTTGTAACTAATAGTGCTTGTGTTGGAAAGTATTAATAAAGAATTCTTAGAAGTGCTAAATGAAATTTAGTGAGTTTTTTCTCTATCTCTTATTCCGTATTACTTAAAACAAATCGTTATCCAGTGAATAAATTACGGACACCATGTATTTTGAAATGAAATAAATTAAAGACATTATAATTTAATTACATAAATTAAAATAAATAAAATCGCTTAAGATAATTGCAGTTTTATTGCAGCAAAGTATTATGAGTTGAGTAAATTTTAACGAAAGAGTATCATTAAACTCATAATTCTGTTTTAATGTTAACCCTTTGCGGCACAGTGTGTCCGGTCTGGACACACCTAAAAATTTCCTTCTGTACGCACAGAAAAATTGAATGAAAAAGGATTTTTTATATTTTTTTATTAAGAAGTATGTTTCTGTTACTATAGGTTATTCTGAACCTTCCATTCCTTTATTTATAGTAGATGGTAGCTCAACACAAACCAGTCCATATATTTTAGCCATGTTTAGTTAAGAAATCTTCCAGTTTTTTTAAGTGTATAAAAGAAATTATCTGAAAAGAAATTTTTATTTATTTTTTTTTTGGCTGTATGCTAATCTTCTTATTCTATATTAGTTTTAAATTTTGACCTTGAAATCGTGCCTAAAATCAAACGGCGAACCCTAGGTCTGCCGAGACCGGGCTCACCAATCATCCAGGACAATTAAGAGTCTGTATTTTTTGTTTCTCCGCATCCCATCGGTCAGTTCATTGATAACAATGCTCGTTTCAGCACTCTTTTCGAAGCTCTAGTCAATCAGTGTGCCCACTTTGGGTACACCCACAGAATTAAAACGATAAGTGCTATCTTCACAAAATTTTACTTGTGTACTCCTCTAGGATTAATTACATTGCCTACCTTTTTTTTAACCAAAACTCCGACTTTAAAAGGTAGCGTGCCGGAAAGGGTTAAGGAATCAAGAATGTGAATATAGTAATAATGAATGTGATAAACTATGCAGTTTAGTATCTAACTTTAATAATAGGTATTCATTTAAAAGTGCAACAATTTTTTATGGATATCATTATTAACTTCATAACGAAGCTGAAAAAATTCTCTATAGATAAATTAAAATTTTAGAGCATGATGAACTACATTAATCTTTTTCATAATAAGCAAGCAAAAATAGAAAGTTTCTTGGAAGTTCGACAGGAAATCCCAGGAAGATCATTGAAACAAATCATGATACGAAGTTGTTCTTTTGACTGGAGAACCGACGAGATGACATGCTTTTTCTTTTAATGCTAATAATGAAACAATGTATTTGAGACATGAGTTTTATTGACAGTTTATTTGAATTATAAATTTTTAATAGACGGCAGAAAAGGGCTTATTTTTAAGCTTTATTATCTAATTTGTGTCTGCTTTTTTCCATTACACATTTTAATGAAATATCAGAATTTCAAACGTATTTTTATTTTACGTAATAGCTTAATGAGCGCGAATTTTTCCTCAGTAAGTTGTCAAAGCAGCTCTTTAGTAAGACTAGACTCTAATGGGTGCAGCAATGTTAAACAGTAAACTTCATAGAATTCGGCACTGTTAAGTTTAGAAAGGAGGAAATAAGAAACGAATTGATTATTTTAAAGTCAAAATAAACGCTGGTATATTAAGATCTGGTAATTTCAGCATGTGTTACATTTTATTTTATTCTTCTTTTTGTTGTGTTTGTTTTTATGATAATAATTTATAAAACTGTTAATCATTTTAATAAAAATATTTGTTTTATGCTTTACAAATTTTTAAATCTTAAAAAGTCTTTAATTCTACAGAAAAAAAAATTATTTTACAAGTATATATAATAATAACAATACACAAAGAGATGGTAAAGTCACAAAACAGAAATATACACAATAAAAGTATTTTAGTTTGTTTCTAATGAGCTCATTTTTATTTTAAAATTGATAAGGTTCGAGAAATTGCACCTACAGAGAAGATTACGGCAAAAGTTCTTACCCGGTTACTACTACGATGAAATCCATGATATTCCAGATGTTACGCAGGTACGACCCCTTATGTAGTACAAAGCCTAACGCTAATATCTTTACTGAAGATTCTACACAAAATATCGCTAAGAAGTATGTTTCTGTAAGTTCCTGTAAAATATAAATATTAATATTTTTAATATGATTTCATTGAATATGTCTCATTTGCAAATCACTCTTGATTTATGTTCTGCATTTATTTTTCTACGCGAAGTAGTGTTAGATCCAAATTAATAATTTGAAAAACATATTTAAAGACTCTTCTTGAACAGCTCAAGGGTATGAACGTAAGTAACATTTAAAAAAAGATTGGGGTAAGAGGGTAAAGCAAAATCCTTGAAAAGGATTACTGCTAATTATTTAATTTCATACATATTTATTAAAGCGTTCATTTCATCATTGCTTATCATTTGTACAAAGTTCTGAAGTTTCTCCTCAGCAACAGAAATTCGAAAAATGTGATTAGAGAAAAATCGAGTTTCTAGAAACAGTTTGAAGAAAAATTATATCAGAATTTTCGTAATTTGTAAAACAAAAGGTACGGTACATCAGTACAAGAATTCTAATAATTGCAAATGATGAATACCTTTTTTTCACAAAAGTTAGAACTTATATTATAATTCAGATAACTTCTTTCCGCGCAGCTAAATCTGAGTAATTTTATGTGAATCCAGATAACAACCCTTCTTTGAAGTTTGTTGCCAGTGTGTAATGATATAGAATGTGATATTAATTCAATAAAAATGAAAATTCACTATGACTGTTAGAGTAAAATTTTTTTCTTCTTTTTAACACATCGAGTAAAAACACTTATTGGCCTGACCATCATACCAGTTTTCTGTTTCAAAATTATTTTAAAAAAGTCTTCATTTGGCAAATTAAGTTTTCTATAGCTGTAAAAAATCTTTTTGCTTTCAAAATTATTTCAGATTATAAATTTGTTTTAAACTCAGCGTTTGAAAAACGTTTTAGTTTTTACCTTTCACATTCTCAACAGTCAATTATTTCATTTCCTGTCTTTGAAGGACTTTCTTGTGTGTTTTTGCGTGTTTGCGCCTTGGCACGTGATTTTGAATCTCATTTTATGACTAATTTGCAACCAAAGAAGAAGCAAATGAGACTTCCGAAAAGCCAGTTTTTTCCCATTTTTACGTCTGTTTTCATTAATTTTATCCTCTTCCAAATTAATTTCATTTGGCATACCTAGTTTTAATACTACAGTGAAGCGATTACATTTCCTTTAAAATATGTCAAGTGTGGACATTACATGGAACTAAGTAAACCATTTTATATCTTACAAAGAGAGCTAATGTTAGTTCCAGCTAGCAGGTTGTAAACATGGCCAAGATCACCGAAAATACGCAGATCAAAAATCAACAATAAAATATTTCAATATTTCTACAGTTTTTAAGTTGAGAATATTTTAACTTTTATTCAAAACAGTTTAACTGATGCAAGGCCTTGAATATTTTAGATACTTGTTTTTGAGAAAATGCTGTTACGCAAATAAAAGTTTTACATATCTTATTTCAGAATCCAATTATGTACACATATTATATTATATTTTATTTTATTAGAAAGAAAATTAAGATAAAGTCAGACAGCAATTTTTCGTCAAAGAAAAGGACTCGGTATTAAAAAACTTATAATATTTCTCTTTATTAAATTATTTAAATTCTATATAATACTTCATTCTAGAAAGAGCATTGCATTCCTTTCTGATCGTACCATTAAATTACACAAAGAAAACCGGACATCGAAGATTTTCTTGTAGACCAAATATGTCTTTATTGCAACGAGGAAAGTTTTCAATTTATCATATTTTGTTCCTTTTTAATTTTGTTTAACAAAACACAAAAATACTTTTTTTGATAGTATGAATCAATTACATTACTTTTTATTAGTCTCAATATACAATCTATTTTAAATAAAATACTCAAGTCAATTTTGGATATGTACGACCTCAGTTCAAACATTACATTACGGTGTTTTATTTATGTAAAACGAAAGTGCATAAACGCTTTCTTTTCGGATAGAATTAAACCAAAATATTATACGTTTTGCTGATGTTAAGTAACGAAATAATAAAATGAAATTATAATAAATGTTATTAAATTATTTGATCCCCATGTCAGCTAGAATTACATTATAGGAACTTTTAGAAAGTGTGGGAATTTTTGGAAGAATATGAATTTTTCTTCATTTATGTTCATTAAGCTATTTGTATTAGCAATGTGCAAATCATACAGTTTCATTTGATTTTATTTAATAGACACATAAAATATGTATTGAGCTACATTCTTAGTATATTATTTAAATCAAGAGAAGGAAAAAAGAGCATAAATTAATTAACAAGCATAATTTCACATAACCCTGAAAATGAAGAAAGATCTGGATATTTGTAGTCCGAACGCTTAACATTTTAGTATATATGCATGTTTAATTTATGGTACAGTTTTTAAAAATGCAGCAAAAAACTGAAAATTACCATAGTACAATTGCAAACATTTTGAGAAAAGATTAAAGAAAGATTAATTATACTTACTAATTTCTGTGCTAGTGGCGTCTTATCATCTTCGGGCAAGTGCTCCTCCAAGGCCAGGACTATACAATTGGCAATGATAGTCAATAATACTGCATATTCGAAAGGAGTGAAGAAAGTTAAGGAAAAACAGGTGAATAGGAAAATGATAAATTCCAGTAATAAGTTTAAAAGACATACATAATCAAATTTTTCAGTAATTTATAAACAGGTTAAAAGTTCATTATGACAGTTCCATGATTTAGACACGCTACATTGTAGGAAAAAATAAAATTAAGCTTAAATTAAACTAAGAGAATAATTTTCATGTGCTTAAGATGAAAGTCTTCCAATAATTAAACGTTTTGTATGATTAAATTTAAGACAGTTGAGTGTGTCTAGTGTTTTCCCGTATGTTGAATGAAATTCTTACACTAGCTAGTTAAGAAAAGCTGGTTGTATAACAAATGTATCCACAGCAGAAGTTTCATATGAATCCAGATTGTCACATATAGCACTGAAAGACAATATGAAAAGTCAGGTTTCCAAACTTCAGTCAGAGAAATGATTTAAAGATCTCACTTCTTTAGTCATGGATTGAAGGGAAGCAAGCTAACCAGTTTATTAGCTACATTTCTTAAACAGATTATTGCAATATTATGTATACACCTATGACATGATACATACAACCGCATTAGAGTATTACATATAACTCCTGCGTGCTACAGTTATTGCAAATATAGCTTTTGCTTTTGGAATTTTCATAGCAAAGCTTAAATAAAACTGCAGGTTCAACTTTTTCTTACGGTTTCAAATTTATAGTTAAAAACTGCAACTGTATTATAATTTTTTTTTCTAAAAATTACGAACGTAATTCGAAAAATATTATTTAACTACTCCTAATTAATTCGCTTTTCAAAATTTGCTACTAGATTTTTAAATACTGTTATTTTTGCTATATATAAAAATTGCATATATTGTGCTGATATTTTTGCTAAAATATAAATGTCAACAAAAGATGAACACCGAGAAAAATCATTTAGTTTTTGGTTGTAAAAATTACCGTTTAACAGCAAACCTGTCTACAATTCACTTCACTCGTGTTTTCCAATAGAAGGAAATAAGATAATTCGATATGTCATTAGATCATAACACTGTAGTATAGTACTTTAAAATAGGCATTTCAAGATGGTGAAGATCCTTCTCTCATCTATATTTGTAAATTATATCATCATCACTTCACAGAGGGAATTAAGGATTTAGCAAACAAGAAGACTGAACCATATTTTTCGCAGCAGATGTTGTCATAGCTGTCAGTCACAATTGGAGGGAGGGAGGAACAGCCTTAAAGTATCCATTCTAAAGTAACAGACTATAGCAAACGGCAGCCACTTAAGAAGATATATCGTTAATAGGTTGCCACTGCTTTGCAATTTTATTTATATATCTGGAAATGTTGCAGATTATATTGAAGTCAATAAAAATTCAATAGTTTGAGAACCGTTTCGGTACTGTTTCACCTTAATAAAACAATCTGAGATTGTAGTTTTAATAAAAAGAACTCACGCGAATTTAATACAATATTGTCGATAATTTAATAGGAAAGTAAGGGATATTTGTTCTATGAAACACGTGTAATGAGACATTACAAAATAAGTCACGTCGTATCTATCTATATAAAAATTCTTTTTCCACACTTATTTTGCTTTACAAAAACCAAGACAATATTTCTTTGTGAAGCCAAGAAATAGGGAAATGTACATAAGGCAGGGAAAAATGAGCTTCCTTAAATATCCCTGTCCGATCAGCATAAATAATTCATAGCTCGAAGCACTGCTACCATTTTCCTTGCATTATCTTCAATTTCTAGACACCGCGAAGAGAGAAATGGAATTTTCGCTCTTGAATGTCTGGATGAATGAATTTAATGGTTATTCTTGTGATTTATGAGAACAAGAAGCCACGCTGATATATTAAAAACCTTGCTTCTTACAAACAACGAATCTAATTTTTTCCTCATTGCTCTTAAGTTATATGCAAACATGTATGTCGAGGCATATTAATATTTATTAATAGGAAAAAAATATTTTTTGCTTACGATACTTTCTAAAACATAAAAAAAAGCTTAATTAAAAAAATCCGAATTCTCCAGTTTATTGCTATTAGTAAATAAATACTATATTGTAAGCATTATGTTAATTTTATTAACAGATAAATTTTGAGTTAAACTTCATTTCCTATCGATTCTTAATTTCAACTTACCACTTCCGGCCAGAACGTAGTTTTAGAATCAGGTCTGAATGCTAATGAGGAAGAACGGTATTATAACCGCGAACTTCTACAGTCGTAGTGAGAGAGATACCATATATTCTGGCTGCACGCGTCAGCCTTTTCAGGCTACTCTGTCGTAAGCTATTATTACGCTCGGCCGTACTTTAGGCCCTTGATAGCTTCGCAGTTAGTTATCGTTAAGGGGAAAATTAGAATTGCCTGTTAGAATTTTGATAGCTTCGGCTATATCTCTCTCTAGTTAAGATTAGTTTAGTTTAATTATTAGTCTCTTAAGTTCAAGGCCTAAGTGTCAGCTTTTTGTACAACTTCAAGACGGAGTTTTGTTAAACTATAGTTTTAATAATAAACGGTTATTTCCCCCTTCTTACTTGTTGTTTTCTATCTCACGAACCTCAAGCGATTATTCGCTTACTAGTTTTTAAGGTTCTTTACTTTTAACTAAGAAATACACAGTGAAGAATCCTACAATGTAAATAAAAATATGAATTAATAAATCTTTAATTATTTTGATCATTTTCAAATTCTGCAAGTCTTTTATTGTGAAGGAAAATACGATTCATTAGCAATAATATTTGGTGATGTATAACATGAAAAAAGCTCTAGAATAAATCTATTTTAATTTTAATATGCACCATTATTTAACGAGTTCAGATTTAACTGTTCGATTTCTTCGTGTTTAAGGAGGCATAGTTTATATTTTTAATATTTATCGATGGAGAAAAGGCAGTAATTTCATACAGATTTTTTTATTTCCCCTACTACGGACTTTGGTTTAATTAAAAAAAAAAAAACAACTACCTGTCTGAGCAGAAAAATTCTTGTCTTATTTGAACGCTCCTCCGGGGCAACTCAGGTAAAACTTGGGAAGCTACTGATTATGATCGTCTATGATTCTATCTATCTTATGATTCAGTCTCGGCCACGGATGTTTAAAATCACTCTCGACAGAATTGGTGTCATCACTAGCGATGGCTGTTTCAGGCTTGGTATGTATGGCTTCAGGCTGGACTGTACGGCGTTCTCGTCCGTTTCGTTGGTTGTGGTTGAGCTATATAGTCTGACATTCATGGTTGTCCGGGGCGAAACAGCCCCGTCGGTGGAATTGGCGAATTCAGCGAACCTCTAAACTACTTGAGGTTTCCAGTGGGCGCCTGGAGACTCAAAACTGCATATTCATATCCTTCCTTGGCTTTCTCTTGGGGCCACATAAAGCCGACATTTGTATACCACGACGTAATGTTAGCAGGCCGGATTGGTGGCCCGGTCTGTCTGACAGTGTTTAAGTGACTTCGTTCTGCTGTCCGGATTTGGGGCCTCTGTTGATGGAAGATGTTTTTATCATCTCTCCAGAACGGTGACGTGGAATGTGAGTTGCTAAGTATTACTGTCGACTCAACTTAGTCTTAGCTCGTCTGCTCGACCGATAGGTTAGCGGCTTCTTGAATCGCCTCTAGGGGTTCTGGAGTTTAACTGTGTTAAGGCAACCTCGAGCATGCCAGGTCTGAGTGCTCCTTCCTCCTAGCGCACTGTCTTATTTCACCGAAAGTTATAACCAGGGCAGGAGTTCATCTCTGGTGTTCTCTTCTGTTTTACTTGAACGTGAAAATACGTGATACCGATGCGTATGTAAGGGTAGATGCATCCGACAAATTGCTTAATCCTTATTTTTTGTCTACTTTTGCAATAGTAGTAATTTGTGCAACATTTATCTTTTTTATAATTGCTTGTTGTTATTGTTTTTTTTTTTACGAAAAGAAGGTAAGTGCACTTACATATTATGTTAACTTAAATTTTTAATTCGGAAAAGCAACGATTTGAGTTTAATTATTTTAAAACTGTTTACCTCTCATGTTTGAGCCATTGTCCTATTCTTGATGGCGTAAATTACTAATATCTGAACCATTTTCCTCTAAATTCTTTAATAAGAATATTGTTCGTCCTTCACCAGTTGTATCAGTTGTAACACCAAAATACTGAAAACTTTCTTGTTAAGATACTTCATGCAAATTAATATCTGCTCTTGATGGCTGGCGTCAGGGATAATCAAGTAAAATAGAAAAATACTTTGCCTGTTTGACCTTACTGAATATAATTTGCTTTATATTATCCCCTAATAAGCTAATTGTTTCATTTTGAATTTTATCTTCAAGGTGAAATGAAGCATATTTTTTGTGTTTTAGTTTTGTTAATATATGCAGATATGATAGGGTCAAATTTTGTGATCATTTCTGTACACTGTAAAAAATTATTATTTCTTTCGAATAACTTGTTACGGAACCAGGGAAGGCTAAGTTTTGTTTGGCTAAAAACTGAATGGCACAGATAATTCTTTCAATAATATCGCGGCAATGCTTAGTCTTATTTTTTTAAATAAATTTTGAAATTTCGAATCAACAGGTTTCTTCTTTTGTAATCATTCTAAGAAATCGGACCAATGATGTAGATTCTAGAAATGCATTTTTTTTTCATGAAGTTTTAAGTGCTCATTTAAGTGGTTACTGTCGTTAAATTCAGAACTACTCAGTTTTACGTTGCTAAAAACTTTTGCAACAAAGACAATAAACATAATTTAGCAACTAATCCCTTTTAACCCTTTCATTGTTTTTTTCAACTTTTCAACTTTGATGGACCACTAGTGCTAGTAGCGTCAGTTTGGTATTCTCTGGGTTTTTGGAAAAACTGAGTAATTTAAAAAAGTTCTGGTTTATTAAGTCTTCTTCTCATTTTCTTTTTCTTCATTGCATTCTGATACTTAAACAGTCTTTTCTGTTTTTGTTCCGACATTTGAGGAAAGATGAAAACAGAAAAAGCGGAAGTAAAAATAAAAGTAAAA